ACAGTTTTTCCTCTGCATCATGTGTTGTTAGATGTAATTGTTTTATGTTTGTGTCTTGCTAAAAGGGTGGATCGCCGCTTGAGAAATTGCATTGTGCGCACTGTCGCTATTAATTCTCTGCTACGTTATAGGTATCCAACGAACATCAGTTTGTTCGGCTTCTGTGCCGAATATTTGACCACACTGTCGTTATAACTTATGAAACATAGATATAAAAAAGGGCTTTTCACTAAAATAGATCGTATATCAGAAGCACTCCAAAATATTGCGCTTTTAACTAATTGACGGTAAAGTTAGTAACCCAAATATTGTTTCTGTAATGGACGTTATCGTCAATATAGAGCGCTAATGTGTAAATGCAGGCATTGATGTGAGTTTTATCGACCAGGAAAAGTCTGCCCTAGCGAATTCGTGATGACGAACATGGTTTATTAGATATTAGGTAATGAATGATTTATCGTATTACTTTAGGCATTGTTTCAAGAGTTGGCATATTTTGCACGACAAAACAACGTAAATGCCAAATATTGTAATTGTCATTTTTCATATATCTATTCGGCACAAATAAAATCATGGAAGCAGATCATGGGCTTAGGTAATCGAATTAAACACGATATCTTCTTGATTTCTGCTCTGTGCTGTTATCTCCTTCCTTCTACAATTACCCAATAACAATATTGTTGATGCAATACATGTAACCAAATGCTGATAAACCGGTCCTTCAGGAATCACATGTAACGGTCCTTCAACAATTAACTCATTACATATAATGGTCCTTTCGGAATACCCCAGTACTGATAACGGTCCTTCAACAATTACCCATTGCTTATAACGGTCCTTCATCAAGTACCCATTACTTATAACGGTCCTTCAACAGTTACCAATTACTTATAACGGTCCTTCAACAATTACCTATAACGGTCTTTCAACAATTACCAATTACTTATAACGGTCTTTCAACAATTACCAATTACTTATAAGGGTCCTTCAACAAGTACCTATTACCTATAACGGTCCTTCAACAAGTACCCATTAGTTATAACGGTCCTTCTACAAATACTGATAACCGTCCTCCTACAAAAATCCAGTATTGATAAACGTCTTTATTTAATTACCCAGGAGTGATACATAGGTCCTTTCATGATAACCCAGTAGTGATACATCGGTCCTTTCACGATAACAAAGCACTGATACAATGTATATACCGTCTACAATAACCCAATACTGATGTATACCTCCTTCCACCAAACACATGTATTGAGAGATTTACCCTTTAACAACAATCCAGTATAGATATATCTTCCCTTCTGTATTAACCAAGGACCGGTATCCTCTTCCTGTATTATATCTCTCCTTTTGATTTATAATTACCTTAAATTTTCATACTAATGCAGAAAAAAATTGCTACGGAAAGCACTTCTTTAAATCTGCCAGAACCGGTCTGTATTACAGGTTATATCATTATTGTAAATTTGATACATAGATATTGTCTAATATCAAAAGTCATAAGCATATAAATAATAGCATAATTGAAATAAAAAGTAGCCCCTGTAGATAGCATAATCAAGAATCGTGTTTCGTTCAGTACATTTTAAAATAACCATTGAAAACGGAAATAATAGAATTGGTGTAAGGTTGATACTCCTCTTGAAGAAATATATCCATTTTGATAATGTCATCATTTTGTGAGAAAGACGATCAAACAAAGACATGAGTCGATGGATCTGATTGGTTAAAAAGTTGATTTATTAAAATTGGCGGAGTCCTTTATTAATGAAGTGGATTGAAGGAATACTTGTAGAAAATATATTTGAAATACAACAATTAATCTCAATTCTATTATTTTATTCATTTTTACCTGTATGAAATACGTTTTCAATTGTTTTTTCATTTTAAAGTTAACTCCAAAGAAAAAAAATACCGAAAAGGTTTACTGATTTGCCAATAAACCTTGGTTAATTTGTTGATCTATTAGAGGGTTTCCCCCAGGATGACACGACCTAAGCTCCCATGTAGAGATGAAACCTTCTGTGTCGTAATCAGTCTGATGATATATATCATGGATAAAGGGAGATAACAAGTAAAACATTAAGGATTCTAAATGATTGAATTAAACTTACAAGATATATTTGATCAAACCTTATCTAAGGTGGTTCACAAGAGTTATACGGTGATGAAAACACAACTTTTTCAGAAACATATTTTAATATACAAATCATATCTATTTCGTTTATTTGGCTTTATAGTTTTTTTGTTTTGTTTTTTGCTTTTGTCTCCCAAGGTCCAGTTCTTACCCTTCCTTATGTACCATGAGTTTCGATTTTTACCCCTTTCTTTGACTACGTGGCATCTATTTATTTCCTTTTCCCATTCATCAAAATTGACCAAAATCAGGTAGACATTTCATTGAGTAAGCTTTGATAGCTACTTGTTGTATGTGAACACTTCACTTTCCGACATTCTTTGTTTGTGTAGCGATTCACGCCATAATAGAGGAAAGCAATCAGTTACAGGCATGACTATCATGAATAAAACTTAACTTATCATACAACATTAATACAGTTTGCCTAACTTTGAATGCATTGAACTGCTTTCAGTTGGCATTCATAGGCAATACATTTCATATAAGTTTCAGTGATATGTCCTTTAGGTGACATTGATAGTCAGTAGATGTAATAGGTTAAATATCACTCAATCATCGTTTCACTCTGACTACAAATTGAAGGTTTCTAATCTTATCGTTTTTAATGGAGTGTGATATTTATAGATTATCCCACTGTATGTTCAGGGTTTGTCGTGAGAACAATTTTCTCATCGCTCGCACGTAGATAAAATCGAAAGGCCACCGCGAGCGATGAGAAAATTGTTCGAACGACAAACACTGAAAAAACTGTACGATAAACTATGTATCATCTATATACTACTACCTTATATATTTCTCCATTTGAAAAAACTCAACTAAAAACCATGTTTTCCAAATGACTTATAAGCTCAATGGTTAACGATCGCCTGTGACAAACATAAACAAATAGAAGGTTTGCGCGGAGGAATACAATGAACCTTAAAACTACGTTGAAACATAATTTATAAAAAAAATCCTCTTGTCATGGGCTTTTCCATATGCACATTTACAGCTGAAATGGTGTTGTTATTCTCCCAATATTTTCCCGTAACTCTGTATTGATATGGTTATGACGAACTTTTTTCCTACGCAGACGTTAGATTTTGAGAAAATACGTTCCCAAGTAATGGGGAATGGGGAAATCGGTTATCAAGTTCTTCTCAAGTTGTTCTCAAGTCGTTCTTAACATCTTAACTCATAGTGACAACCAATGGTTATGCATTTATCATGTTACCGGTATGTGGTATAAAGTAGTATATAGATGATAAAGGCTGATCTCGGTGATCGCGAAATTTCACAGATGAACAGGGTTTCCATAGTCTGTACTCCTGTATAACGGAATATAGTACGGGGACAATTCTTAGTAAAATTGTCGAATGGTTGCATTTTCTTATGTATTTTGTTTGTATGAAATAAAACGATGGTGATTTATAAAAAGGGATAACGAGGTATATGCTGAATATTAACCTCAATAACAAGTTCACTACAGTAATGACTAAACTAGTGGTCCACATTTTGGGTCATATTGACAATTACTTCAGGATTTCTTACATCTTAGAATATATAGAATACTTTACGTATATTAGTTCAATACCATTAATTTGTCAAGAGTGCTTGTTGCGTACGAATACTCATACATGTATGTATTGTAATAGTCTTCTGTGACAAATAACATATGTTTGAATGAATGAATAGTCCTCTTAGATATTCGTATTTTGAGTAAAAACATTAACCCTCACACACAACGAATGATATACACCATAGAGCGTCATCACACCAAGACAGACTCGGAAGGCGAGTCAATATGAAATGAACCAAACACCTAAGAGAAATAATAAGGAATCCCCATAAAAAATGAAAGAAACCAATTAATTTATCTCGTTAATAGGCATCCTCGATTTCCAGGGGTTACGCTCACGTTCGCTCTCTACACACCTGGAATATGTCATGGCAAAATTGAAGGCTCGATATGCGCCACCTTGTTGATGAGACAAGAAGACTAGTTCGATCCTTTGATGTACAACAAAAGAATCTCGCGGTCACATAACGGTAAAAATTGACAGGCTTTGAAGTCGGGCGTCTCTTCTTTTAATCTTCAATGGACGGGTATCAGCCTAGCGATTAGTCAGTTTTTGTAACTGAGACCAATCAAACAGATATCTTCAGGCCTTCAATTTTTCCATGACAAATTCCAGGGGTGTAGAGAGCGAAAGTAAGCGTAACCCCTGGATATCGAGGATAGTTAACAGGGTAAACTAGTATGATATAAAATATATAAGAGTATTAGACTTCATATTTCGCTTGAAAATATCAGGGAGGGAGGCATTCTTTTATTTTGATAAAACAAAAAGAAATATTTTTTGAAAAGGAAACAATATAGGGTTAGTTAGCCTTTGGCAAAAAGTCTTACAAAGAGCAAACATGATACTTGATTCAGTGACGGACTTGTGAACGTTTAAATTCCTGCCTAGGATTGTTGTACTATTTTCAATGATGGAATAGATAAAACTTTTTCAAAATATGTTACCTTAATAATTAGATATATAATTAGGAATAACTACATTTAATGACCTACAAACATCATTGGATGTAATAACACCATCCAATATTTGACATTGTATTGATGAAGTCGGATCATGTGCGTCGTGTGTGTCATTGACAGACCGTACTGTCCATTGCACATTAAGGTCAAAATGGCATATCACATATATCATAGCCCCTGAAGCTGCGTTGATCGTTCGAGCAAACATCTGCCTCTAATCCTGTTTCATTAGTATCAATATCAGCATGCATGTCAATGTATTCCCCGAAGCTATGTTTGGTGGTATTCGGTCACACATGCACGCCCGCCGTTGGCTGTATACAATAGACATATAAAGTGAAGTTGTCCGGCAATAACGCCACACATTCGATTCACAGGATTTAAGGTAATTGCAGAGTATCTTTAGTTCTGTATAAAATATTTGTTATATAGTATATTTCTATTTTACTTTCTGATAGTAATTTACCTAAATTTTATGTTAAACAATATCTTGTACATTACAACTTCGTCGTTTTTTTTATTTCAATCTGATTGACCAATATGATTTCTATCTGATCTGTGTCCGAAACAATGTTAATAACCTCATTTTTATTTTTGTGTTTTTGTTTGATAGTAACATGTTTTATAGTCATAACTTTGTATTTGGTATGTGCCCAATGACATAATATCATACGTCTATCATGTGTATATGTTTATTGCACTTAAATGCAAATTCATATTTTCATCGTTATTGCAGGTTTATAGCTGAAAGAATGATAATTATTTCACTTATAGGATTCAGGCTGATATATCTGCTATTATTATACATTTATGCATTATTGCTGAAGGTGCCTTGTTTTATGTTTAGGGCTACATGATGTTTTGACACTTCCCCACTAAGTGCATTTATATATATTGTTTCCTTCGCAGTTTAACATAATATATTAACATGCACATTTGCAAGTGTATACAATATAGGACCGTCAACTGTTATCATAATTAAAAACATTATAGTTACATTTATTGCCAAAACCTGAATGCTACATGCTACAATATTTTTCCTGAAAGATAGTTTATCCATCTTTTTCATAATTGGTCAAACAGGAATTATTATTTTTTAAATTAAAAAGTTATCCTTGTTAAAAATGAATTATTTACATGTTTAAGTAAGAAATTACGTCAGAACATTATAATGTCACTTCGAAATACTTGGAAATAACCATGTAATATTTTTGTCATCGTATTGTTTCACGTGTCAATACAAAATTACTGATTTTTGTTGTCACCAAACTTGATTTCTTGGGAATGGCCAAAACAATATTATTTACTAAATATAAAAAACAAATCTCGCTGTTTAATGTAAGTATTACTAAAATGAAACTTTTAAACACATATATTTGCTGTTTCAGAAACATACATACGAGAGATCCAGTGCTTATTATCAAACATGGCTTTGGATAATTATGCCCTTGTATACTTGATATTGGCTACAATCTGCATTCAACATACATTAGCATGTTCTTGTATGTGGGCCCCTAACTTCCCTGATCGCTACTGCAGTTCAGGATTCGGTAGGTACATTGGAAATAACCCTTTTATTTTATGAATATAGAACCAATGACCTTCCTTACAACGATAATACATTATAAGGTACACCAGTCCCTTTTTACTTAACGAATTTTAATTCAGATAAGTTAACCAATAAAAATTCAATGGTTATAAATAGGGATACAAAATTGACGTTTTCACATATAACGTATTAATATACTATCTTTTTGTTATTTTACCAATTTTTCCATTTCAGTTTTTCGTGGAAACGTACTAAGTGAAACAATCGATCAAAAGGGTAATTTTGGATTTGAAGATAAATACGTTTATACAGTGGAGGTCAATAAGGTGTATAAATCCACGGAGGTATGTATGGCATAATTGGATAAAAATCTCAGAGCTTTGATAAACAAATATCTTATTTTCATGTTAAAACAAGGTCATCTATATGTGTGATTCTATAAGGAATTAACAGCTGGAGTAATTTCCCCTGGACTCACCTCAGAATTAAAAAAAAACGCAATGGAAATTTTCCATATATATATTCCCCTTCTATGTTGATGGGAGTATATTCTACGATAGTTTACACATTAAAGCTAGAGCAGAGACATATTCGTTAATTTCATTTGTTTAAACCTTATATGTTCTAAAACGATTCCGAAAGCATGTATTTCCGTTAAAAATATCTGTTTGAAAAAGTCTCTTAAGTACGGCAATCAGCAAATTTATAGAAATGAAAAATCGTTACAAATATTGATATCGTGTTAAGATAATTTTAGAACAAGTCACAAAAGAATATATTCACGGTTATTTCATTTGATACTCTATCTTAATATATCATTTCCTCTATGGTAGCATTTCATTGATGAAATTAAAATGGAAATCCGTCAATATTACAAAGTAAGCTGTAATGGTACAACACTGCTTAAAAAACAGATTCAAACATTTATCATTTAAAATAACATCAGTTTGTTGAAAATCAAAATTAACTGAATCCTGATGTCTTCGAATAAGGAAAACCACAATAGTATTTAATAGATAAAAAAAGATAATCTGAGCAGAACATTTATTTTATATTGTCAGCTGGCAGAAGAAAAGGTGAGCGGCAATAATACAGTACAGCTTGAAACACCTAAATACGGCTCCCTGTGTGGAAAACCACTGATGCCTGACACTGAATACCTTATTTCAGGTAATTCTATCACTAGCATTTATTTGACATTGAACATTCCAATGTAAATATTATCAAAAAAAAATCAAACAAATGCAGTGAGTCCTGCCATATTTATTATTGGATATCTACACGGTACATAAAAATAAAGTTTTGTTTATTTGCTGTTTAGCAAGGTAGTCCAGTGGTAGGACGCCGGGCTCGTGACCGAAGGGTTGCGTGTTCGAGTCAAGGCACAGCATTGTGTTGTATCTTTAAGCAAGATGCTTTACTCCGCTTGTTCCAGTCTACTCAGCTGTAAATGAGTACGTGGTTGGACAGTGCTAGAATTGTAGAATGCCAGCCGTAGCGCCGAAATGGCAGCTCCGGCTGTATGCCCCCAGGGAGTTGAGAAAGGTTTTGGCTGGTTGCAAAGGCCCTATAACCACGGATAATAATTAGTGAACCGCTTTGAGACGACCTACGAACTAGGTTGTGATAAAGCGGTATATAAGAACCTCGAATTATAATTATTATTATAACAAATGTAGTGAACATTCTCATATTGACTCTTCATTGCTACAGTGACGAATTATATGTTACAACTGATCTGCATTTTACTGTTTTTATTACATTTCCAGTAAACCATACATGATAGCCAATGATTCCACTGCCATGAGTTTAATTGAATTTACATTAACCCCTATTTGATAGCCCGTAATGTCACTGCAATGATTATTATCAGTTATAATTATATTTTCAGTAACCACCTACATGATTTATCTGTGATTCCACCACTGTCATTGGTATAATTCTATATCCAGTAACTCTTTACGTGATAATCTTTGATTCCACTTCCATGATTATAACTATATTTCCAGTCACCCCTACATGATATACCATGATTCCATTCCCATTGTTATAATATTATTTCCAGTAACCCCCTATATGATAGCCCGCGAGTCCAAGGTTATGGGTATCAATATGTGTGCATGGATCGAGGAGTATCACCACGTCCCCCAAGCAGACAAACAAGCACTCGACGATGAAGTTGAATGTGGCTTTGACTGACAAAAGATACATATTAGTACGTACTTGATTCTCGTTGTGTTTTAGATATTTGTTTCATAATATTTCGTTTCAATGTTGTTTACAGATAGAATGAATGAAAGACTCACTTTGAGTGAACATATAACAGAACAAATTAATATGATCGAACAATATATAATTAATTAAGGGTTACTCGTGACGTCACAAAAAGTCAGTCATACATTCGACTTGTCGAAATCCTATGTGATGGTGTTATGATACTGCACACCAGCATAAACAGCTGATATTAAATACATGAGTATCCAGCGATATGTGTTTATTATAATGTTTATCTTGTGTTATTATCTTGCTATGGTAAAGTCTTGAATTACATGATAAAGGATTATCTTTTTTGGTTATCGATTGTAGCTTCCATCGCAAGCTTTGGAAAATATCAACAATAGTTAAGTAATGTTCTGACTACTATTACAATTAACAATGAGAACAATAAAATAATAAAATGTAAAGTTGTATTGTTTGGTTAACGATGTCTCCGTGTTTTCGTTACAGGTCTTTACCGTGGGCGAGGGAACGTCGTTATCATAGAATAATGCAGATTTATTGAGAAGTCTAAATTGCATACAATGAAGGCTAAGCTGTCGGTTCGTGCTACTGGCATGAACGGCTGGGAAAATACCGTCAATTCACATCAGTAGCTGATATAAAGTATCGTGCTTTTGAGTCGTTGTAAGAGAACAATAAGCGCTTTGGATCTGTCAAAGTAATTTCCAGTTTGTATTAAAATATTTTGATGAAAAGCACATGTATTCAATCTTATTTTATTTGACATGAGAAATTGTATGACATTTTAACAAAGCTGTCTTACAAAAGTAATTGATGGGTACTTGTTTATCAACAGCAAACGTACATACAAGCATTCTGTATGCAAGAATGATCTATACAGTATACCATTAATGAACCATTCAACTCATAAGGCTAATAAGGACTGACATTCATCAATTTTTATTACCCTGGTCACTCAAATGGAAAATATACGTCACAATCTGCATCTGAAGCTTCAAAAAACACGCTTCTGTCTCACAATCATTCCGAATACTAATGAATGATAGGGCACGGACCTGCCTCGTTTGCATTGGATTAAGAAACTTCACAGGAACCCTTATAAACAACGTTTTATCGCTGGGTCTGCTAGTTGCTCAACGAAGAGAGGCAAGTGGCGATATAAAAATAACATTGCAAACTTTATTGGAACATGTTTTATGAAAAGTACAACAAAGGGCGAAATGAAATATACTAAGTTAGAAACTGTGAGAATGATTGATTTCCTGATTGACAATAACATTTTTAGGTTTTCAAGAAGACTATAGGCATTACTGAGCAGATAAACTATATCCCTTCTCCGGCCGACTTTTTATCATATGCGGCTAGATCAGGAAGCGCTTACCAGGACTGGTAAATTAAAAACAACGTTGCCAGGTCCTTCAGTTTCAGATAAAGATATATCGACGATCCGGTCTTTATATAATTATAAACTTTATTGACAACATCGATCGTATGTATCCTCTTTAAATCTAAGACATCACAGACTCTTTCACTTCAGCCGCTTCTCCCGATCTTTACTTAGAACATGACCATCAGAGACGGCTTACTATATTATACTATATTTTCGAATTTCTGATAGTGACAGTAACAACAACAGTGAACATAATATTTTGGAAAAGTTTTACGGTCGCCATCATGATCCGAGCCCGTATTCATAAACCATACTCATGCTCAAAGTCATATTCTATGCTCATGTCACATTCCTTGTTCCAGTGATAAATAAAAGTCAAATTCACATTTTGTCAGTGATTTTTAAGATTTTGAAGAGACGTAAAGCAAACTATGTTTAACAATGATTACACTTGACCTTCTGACCGTGTGACATGATAAATGCGAGTCAAAAGAAATTTGATTTGAGGACAGAAACCATGCTTGATCACAAAAAAGGTTTCATGAATACGGGTCCAGATGGGGAACGATGTTGTTTTTTTTTTTATCTCGTGCTCATTAGTGAGCTTGTGGTTTTGTTGTCACTACTCCGGTCCTATCCAAAAAGAGTGTGACATTCCTTGGATTTGAAGACGCTTACCCTTCCGGAACATCTATTCACATAATTGTTCTCATGCTCAAAATCAGATTCTGTGCTCAGGTCCAATTTCTTCTTATGTTGATTAATTAATTAAAAGATAAAAAAAATTGTCAGTAGTTTCGAAAAAGTTTGGAAATTAAGGAGGAAATAATAACTACCATTTAAGGACTTTTGTTTAATAGGCCTGGGGACATATCTCATTGCCTTCCCAACGCTCAACACTAAGGCCAAAAGTGAGGTACTGCCAGGCAAGGCAATAGTGATTTACAGAAAAGTTAGGTTGAGCACAGAATGCATGCATGAGCGTAAAAAAAAAAATGTTCTGGTCTTTTCTTCCTGGTACTTTTTTCAAAGTTCTGCATATAAATCTCTCCTTCGTTCATATTTTTCCTATTTTTTTCTGATTTCGAAATACGGGTTTGTTGACACTTTGGTATTCTCTTGTTGTTTTTATGAAGCCAATATTGGTATTTCTATGTAGCTAGTATTTGTCTATTTATGGGGTCAGTATTGGTCTTATGGGTCCCATATACAGCTGTTGTAAGTCTCTTTTCGCCGTCATGCAAAATAATACTGTCATAGTTTTGTTGCATATACATGCGTATCAGTATCTCATCCAGATAAAAAGATCCGTGTATCACTTCACGCCAAACCTTAGATAATTCCACTGTAGCTGTTCCTACTTGTGGTCACGGGCTCTTAACTTTGTTTTCTGCATAACGTTATCACCACTCAGTGCATCACCGCTGACCAAGTATCTCAGTTGATTACAGTGAAAGTATAACGATCAGAAGTTTTGGTTCGAATCCTGGTCTGGCGCCCTTGCATTTTCTCACTCAGAACACTGTTGCAGATATATATATATATTTATTTTCATTTCTTCTTTATTATTTCATTCAAGAAACGCAAGGCACAGTTTTCGTTTCAGAAATGATTTACATATCTATAGTCATCAGGCAAAAAACTGTGATTCACAAATTAGTTTTTTTTCTCTCTGAATATTGAGTTGTCGTTGGAATCTAAATTACACAATCGCATTATACCATGACTTTTATAAGAAGCAATTTATAAAACTATTTTCACATCAAAATATCTTAAAAGTTATTAGCTTTCGATCTAAACCAAACAAAAAAATATATAAGTCAATATGCAGAAGGAATCTTTGCTAAATAAATTTTCATGGAGACATCATAAGCAGGGGTCAGATGAAAGCAAATATTTTCTTCTTTATTCCTGTTACACTGTAAAAACAACAGAATAAACTATATTATTAAGATTGATAGAGAAATATTTTTAGATGATGTAATATCGTATGTCTCAATATTAACATTCATTAAAATAGGTAAATTTTCTAGTTCTCTAATGTCAGACTGTTCAAAATCGTTGAATTTATAACATGCCTTGAGTTAACTATCAGAAAAAAAGGAATAATTAAACAAACAAATATTTAATTATTGCGTTGTATTACTTACGGCTACACCCGTATCCCCCAGAGATACCGTCGACCTGTTGAGGTGTCAGAGTTTCATAGAACTGAACCAGTTCACACCCGGTCACCTGGTACTTCTCACGGTCAGATGGATATATGAATCCTACAATCATCAAATGTGTTTTATTCTCAATCATTTTGATCTTCATACGGGAATATGCGGTATATGTAGCTGACAATATTTTAATTTTTACCGAACTCGAGGCTTACGTCAAAACTTTCTCTTTTATGACAATTTAAGTTAATGAGCGGATGCAGAATTCCTTGATGAAAGACTGTTTAAAGGTGTTCATAATGTTTGAACCACGTATGAGAGTGATTAAAAAATTAAATGTTTCCATCTCTTATTAAGAAAATAATTAATTAGGCTAATAATAATGCACTTTAGTTTTCTTGTTTATAAAACCTATTTAATAACGCAATAATTCTTTTTAATTGGCTTTTAATTAAAACAATAAAGTATGTTCAAATTACTACACATATCAAAATTATTTGACACCCCTTCTCAGTGCTCCAAAGAATGAATCAAGCATGCATTTTTCCAGCAATAGGGTTTCTGGGATTTGGACCCTAAGGTTCTGCTCAATGTATAAATTATATTTGCCAACAATGACAATTGACGAAAGCTCAAATATTTGCCACTTGAAATATTTGTTATAAGGAATATCAGAAGAATGAATACAATTTATGTCTATAACTAAATAAACTTCAGACAGTTTACTAACAAAAGTTGACAAGCAAACGTGCAAGCATGTAATTATATCAAAACGAAAGCTCAATTTGAACATTGTCACCATTTCACCAAATAACCATATTGTTCTTGGTGAAATCTTTGGAAGATAGTACCCTATTATTCTTTTTTTACTCCGAAAATTAATTTGATTAATAACAAAGGAGGGTAGTTCTAAGTGGAATTGTCTAGACTGGCTTTTTTCTCACATGTCACAATTAGTTTGATATATTTTGAAGATACTTTGAAATAAAGACCATTTAATTTTAACGGTGAAAACATTTTTTTAAAAATATGAATATTATGATATGAACAAAAACAATAATGACATTTTTTCAATGGTTACATAAATTTATATAGACAAAAGGAGTCTTTTTTCCTATTTTATGAAGTTTTGAAATTTTACTTCACTCAAGCATTCTGATTTGATAAACTCATTTTCATAAGCAATATTTAATCATGGGTTAAGGGTCCTTCTTGCGTAAAATAGCTTCATGAAAACGTGGGGAAAATAGGTTTAACGTAAATTTAATGCTCACATCAGAGCAAACAGACTATTGGGTTCGTTAGAGCGATGCAATTTAGTTTCCAAATTCGGTATTATGGAAGACCTAGAGCCTAGTATAAGAACGACGTACCATACTTTGCTTGATCATCATTTTAAAACCATAAATGGTTGATATTAATTGCAAGCGTCATACAAAGCTGAACAATCGTATTTGTTAGATGTTGTTGCCACTTGACAGCCTTTGGCTAATATAAAGTGACAGCTTGACATCCCATTTCACATCTATACTTACCTGACATACTATTAAAAATGTGGGGAAGTCACGTTATTTCAAAGTACATTCCTGTATTGTAGTCAGATGGAAAGCGCGCCTCGTGTGTGTTAAATCGGATTATCGCCAGTATTCCGATTCTATACGCGACTTAATATACGGAAAATAGCCAACACTAATAAAACTTATGTTCCTTGAAAATATTATTTCTGATTGCAGTTGGTTACGGTCATCTAGATTGCAAACTACTAGTGCGAAACAGAACTATAGGGACATAATATTAATTACGTTTGGCGTACTATTCAAGTACATTATAACCTATTGGGTTAGAATGTTGGAAAAACTAAGAATTTACATACAAGACGCGTACTGGCCATTCATTTAGGAAATTTTGAATCACCTGATTTCCCCAATTTCAGGCGGTTTAATTATACTCTCACTATTGCATATTGTTATAACATATATAATCATAATTCAGAACGAAGAAATTCAATAAGTTATGAATTCGCCTACATTTTCTAATTCTAAATCGGTCGTTTGATTTGTAAATTTTTCCTGATTGTGGTTACAAAGCAAATATAATCAACTATAATAATAGTTCCTGATAATATATCCTGAGCTGTTAAAGATATCAAATAATCTGACATTTATCCAATGATATTGATATCATAAATACCTTTTACGCATAGCTTTTATTAAATATATTGTATATTTGATATTTGATATTATCCTTTAAACCTCGTATAGATGTTGTTAATTATTAATTTACAATATAACGTATTACAGTTCATTTACAGAATATTGTGTAAGGAACAACACGCAAGATTTGATTAGGTATGTTTTAAATATGAAATTATATTTATATTCTTTTTTTTCTGAGATAGTTGCCACGAATTTCATAATAAGAAATAATAAATTTCAATATCTATATACAATTTATGATAGTGCATTATTTAACGATTTTTATATAACGGTATGCTGTCAATACAAGCATAGAGCTGACGAGAATCACAAAACACAAGCTAGCTTTAGATTCGAAATTATATTTCGTATTGAATTATAAATCGTTTGAATAAACGGATGAGTATGTATTGCGCTAAAATGCGTACCTATTGTAGTTCTTATTTTTCAGTTATATGCAGGTTAGATAATTTATCGATGAAGATTGTTCGACATCCATCATCTATCATGCTGTTAATACAAGCATAGAGCTGACGAGTATCACAAAACACAAGCTAGCTTTAGATTTACTTTAGAGTACGGTACTTTAGAGTTTAATCTATATAGCCTAAGTAGCAAACAATGAAATTTTCAAAAACATAGACAATTTAAAACAAATGAAACAATAACAACAAAATAAATAGAAAGCATATCGATAAAATTAATAAATACAATTAAAAAATCTATCTAGTACATGTACAACTAGCAGACTCGACTAGATAATAGCTATTGTTTTGTGATATAAGAACTCTTGCATTTAAACTTCCCCACCGGCATATTGTTTACAATACCGTTACACAATTTGTATTTGAACTTTAACTGATACTAATTTTGCGCCGTGTAAACTTATGTTTAACAAATATAGAATATAAAACAACGCCAAACGTTTGAATGACCTAACTTTTGTACAAATTGTGCGAATTGAAGTACTACCAGTCCAGAATGAGCTTATTTGAGAATCACCTGTGAGGAAGTAATGGCGACCTTCCGTCAGAGTCATCCCACACATAGAGGATTCATACGGCACTGAAATGATCATCTCGTTTCCTGTTCTTTTAGTTTCATCCTCTGGCTTCTACAAGGTCAATTATTGGACAAGGAAATATATATTTCTATACGAAACATCATGTGATTGAATTTTATAAAGATGAACATTTATTTTAGATAACATCACGTGCATGATTGATTTTACTCTAAAGTTTGAGTCAAAACTAAATTGGAATACTTTTAAAAATCGATTAAATATGTTAATATATAACTGTTATAACAGTTTACTTTTTACATTTTTTTAAACCATACTTACCCTAAACACTTGTTCAATTTGAACTGTGTAACGGGTATACATTCGTGTGCCAAAACTACTCCACACCTCTTCGCCATTTTCCACGAAGCCTTTTATTGCTAAAATACACAATTAATTCGATCTTTATTAAAATTAAACAGGTACAAAATCATAAGCATTATTTTTCAAAAAGATGGAAATATTTCATTCGTGTAGGATTTTCCATTAATTTATCATTCATATCAAGCAATTATGAGTTGTTTTACTTCTTCTTTCAACTTTGGTAATTATCAGTCTTCTTCAAGTTACACACCTAAGTAGACGGCGAGGATGTTTACAGCTAACTTAACGAATTAATGGTGCTTTCGACTGTATCTGGTCACACAATACAACTTCAATCGAAAAAGAATCAAAACAGACACGTCGTAGTGAGTATATATTTCTTTTTACCAAATATCAATATAAATCAATAACATATTGTATAAGGGTGTCATATGTTTAAATATACATAAATATAGATACATTTCACAAATTTAGGTAAACCCGTATTAACAGCCGGCCATTTCTGACTTACGAGACACTTAGAAACAATTTAACTTTAGTTATGAAAAGCCATGAAGCCTAACAAGACGCTTCGCAATATCCTAGTACACACGAAGGATAAAACGCCTAAAGAAAACGTCGCAGAATGCGTATACAAAATAAGATGCAAAAACTGCGACAAGAATGCGATTTGAGTTCCGCCTTTGTGAACACCGGAAAGATACGGAAACCCAAGAGGGAAAGAAATTCACCAGATCAGAAAGGAAGCAGTCGGAGTCCCAGATAAATAGATCGGCAATCACAGACCATGCCACACAGAAATAGCATGTCATTGACTGGGATAGCTCCAAAGTTGTGGACAGAGAGAGCAATCTGTTCAAGCGGCAGATAAAGGAAGCCATCTGGATACGCCGCAGTGGGTCAGTTCTAAACCGAGATGAGGAGGCTCAAAGACTCTTGCACATCTATGACCAAGTATTAAACGAAGCATAGCTGAATAAAGTATTTTCGGTACATATATAACAACTAATGTACATACACTTACAGCGTAGCCGAATCGACCTCGATTTGTGGACACCTCGTACACCTTTTACACCTTTGTGTGCATACGCTTCACTAGTCATTTGTCTGATGAAGGTGACGGTGTACATATTGTACTAGTCATCGAAACGTCACATAGAAAATTGAATTAGGTGTGTAAAAGAACTTTTCATAATCCATATTACCTACCCCAAGAAAATGTTAGTCATAAATACTTGTCGCAAAAAAAATCACACTCAGTTTACAATAAAATGCAGTATTATTATACAAGTAAAAAACATGCATCAAATAAAAATTACACAATTATTTGAACTAAAATGGCTGCAAAAGTGGAAACCGTTTCGTTGTTGAACGATTAGTTTTAAAAGTAAAGAGGTGCTGCATGGACATATTGACATATTATTATAACAATCGTGGTTCTGGGTTTAGTGTGAACAATACCAATCAATGGACATTCATATTCGTTATAAGATGAGAGGACTTACCAAAAGGAGAGTCACAAAAACTGTCCTGAAAAGAGATTGGTGGGCAGTGACAGCTCTGGATATCCTCTACGAGTAATAGAAACACCGCCAGCGTGACAAAGAATGCTATCTTCGTCGATCCCATTGTATCTACAAAGTATATACAGGCATTCGTGGGAATGTTCGATTCAATTTTATGTCAATACAACAAACCAGCGAATACTAAACGACGGTAAACTATTTTTCAATCATAAGCAACAGACATAAGCAGTGTAAGGCGAAAATTAATCTTCACGAATTTGTTCCAGGCAATGGCGCAAATGTTTAAAAGAGCGCTATACAGTTATCGAGCAGGAATGTTTATGAAAAGAATTATCTTATCATGCAGGTTTTGTTTTTCTTCAGCCGAGTGACCAGTAAAAAAGATTATTGAGTCATGTGTTAACGCAAATTAGCTTACACATAACAAATCGATTTGTTAAAGAAAAATATAAATGTAATCCATATCTTCAAAATAAATTTAACATCTAGACCAATTTGTTTTTTATTGTTGCATTGTTTCTGTTCACATTCAACAAACATGTTGTCGTCATGAATCTGAACTTTGTTAGCATGTCTATGCATTCATTATTAACTTCTAAACCCGCTTAAAATATAATACTTAAAATAAATCGTTCATTGTTAAAGTTTTGAGGCTATATTTATACCATACCTTTTTTTATATCTGTTCTCGACTTTATAACTGTCTGCCGCGCGATTTTTGCCGGAACAATTTACGTGCAATTCAATGAATCGCTCTATCTCTCGAGGTTTTATCTACAGTGAAAAAACCCGAAAATAAATCATTGTTGATCAGTGATTATTAATCAAACATATGCACCATCACTGGTTTGTAACATGTGTTTGTAAATATCTCATTACTTTTTCTATGTGTGCTGGTGTTGCTTGAATTATAACAAATGTTCGTATTCAAATTCTGACGTAGATCCCTGCTGTCTGTCAGTATGTTAAATACAGCTATCTATAATGTGTCAAAAACATATAAACTACTCTTTGTTATTTTACCTCATAACTTTTGAATTTGCTTAGGTATTTTAAAACTTAGCATAACTCTTCATGTACTTTAGATAGTACAAAATATTTCCAAAATATAAATAATAGTGAGACCTCATCTAAGATATTAAGTATTTTTCAAATATGGTGTTGATATCGAAGCCAACTTGATCTTGACATTTAATGCCATAGGAGTCACAAAAGTATGTAATAAAGATATCTCAAAACGTTTTAGAGATGTCTCTCACATAAATAGAGTTGTTTTTTAAGGTATCTTTAAATCATTTAGAGCTATTTTTATATACCAAGGTATCTTGAATTCACTTAGAGATACTTTTGGTATATTAATGTATCTTTAATTTAATTAGAGATATATGTATTATCTTATGAAAGATCTCCTAAATATACCTTTTAGGCTGCCATACATTATTTATGGTTGACCATATAAGCACAAAAGCGATTCACAACAGATGTTACTAATAGACACCTATTTATTAAAACAGACGTGGCATGTTGGAGTACAGTGTGTGATGTCAACACGCTCGACATTTACATATTCAACCAATATGTCAGGGTCATTGCTTTATTTACTATATTTCATCAATCAGACAGCCTTATGCATAGTGGGAATCAGTGTGAGAAGGTCAAACCAATTCGTATTGTACCAAAGAAAAGCCCGATTTGGTGTTTGAAAGTTTGTCACTCGTCACATCTCGGCGGATTCCGTACCTATATCAAATTGAAGGATACCAGAATCAGCCGAGGTTAGCCGATTGGCTAGTTTATGTGCCAACACATTTCCCGTTCGATTTCCTTTCTCATGAATGTTTTCATCATGTCTGTTAATTTCAAAACATTTTTTAAAATATAAAAAATGGAATATTTTATACATTTTCTGGAAAGCCGTTTTCAGGCTTCGGCATCACTGACGTACTTAAAGCCGTCTAAAGCTAAGATTTGGGTCCGAACTCAAGAACTCAAGCTCAGCGTCCGTAATTCGTTATCACAAACTAAAAACTCAACTCAACGCCTCAAGCTGATGCCAAAAAGCTGAGAATGTCCAAGAGCAGACTTAATTTGGAACTCAAACTCAGGAACGAAGCTGTTTGTTGCAATAAAACGGCAGGCTTACTGTTTAAACAAAACAAGATATAGTGGTTTACAACATGTAAAACAAAACGAAAATTCATTCAAAAAGATCAAATGCTCAGTTTTGTATTGATAGTCATTTGGTTGGAAATTATAACGCTTAATTATTTATATTTCAAATCACACTCGGGCCAAGGCTAACGTCAGTGAAGGCAAACTCGTCACATTAGTAAGGTTTCAGTCAATAATTCGACACAATAACCATGTATCAAAATGCCGACGTGCACCAGTACAGAAGAAGAGTTAACTCAAATGCCTATAAATATGAACATAGTTGTTTTAATACGCCTGATTGACGTCATGCAGATACATTTGTGGCGTCATCAGACTTTTCGTGGTTTTGCTCAAATGTGCAGGCAGTTTCGCCACCTTTAAACATTTCACAATTTTGTACTCAATGTAAGCGTTTGAATGTAGATTTGTGTATGTTGATGTTATACAAGTCGTACGGATGCGAACAGTTCCAAATGTGTGTGTGTAAGCAGGATTAACATTGAATGATTGATCAGCTTTTCTTATTTGTGTTAGTCCACTTTCGGTAAGTAATTGCTATTTTGTAAAACGATTTTGTTTCTAAAAACACAACCAAGCGACAAGTTATTACAATTTTAATCTTTTAATTACGTTTTTATTATGATTATTTGTTTACAGTCAAATGTACATGTATAATAAATTAGTCTTCATTGCAAATCGGGCATATCCTGCGCCCATTCATGTCGTAATCCCATAACATACAGGAGGGTACGCACTCCCGGTGGTACTTCCGATTGCAATCTACAAACTTGAGGGTAGCATCCTCCTCTTCCTCTTGTTTAAAACATAGTGATAGAGAAAAACACTTAAATTCCAACAAGTGATATTACTATTAAACATTTAATGGACATACGATATTTTACGACGATAGAAGAGCAGGTAGTTAACAGTTAATTGGCCTTTATATTCTTTACATACCCAATAATCAGTTGAACCTTCCGAGCAGCATTGCCATGATTCTCCCGTGAGGAAAGACAGATCAGCGTCCGTCTGGTACGCGTGGTGACGACAGTCGTAAAGAAACCACCTTCCACACGGTTCTGCGTCGCACCCGACCCATTTGATACCATGGTCTTCATCTAATATCACCCCTCTCATCCTACATTTAATTTGTCGTACGTCAACATGACTTCATCTAGATCATCCTGAAACTGACGATAGGAAAAAAGAAAATATATAATTTGATTCATTATCAAAAAACGTACAAATCGAGCAAATGGTTAGTATTAGTGTCCATTACTATAGAATAAAAATTATGTTTGTACTTTAGAGTAATCAAGGTAATTATATACTGTATACATCGTGTACCTGCTGTTTATTCGTGTCAGAGGAGCATTGCGCGTGATTGTTGTTCTCCCTATCTTGGGCTGGTTGCCTCGCGTGATTCTAATAAAGAAAATGCTACATATTTTAAACATAAATCTTATTCTTGTTTTCAGAGTGCAAGACAATACAGTTCGAGTAAAACTTTCAACATTTTAACTGATTCGTTTTCTTACAATAGTTGCAGATGCATAGAAATAATAAAATCTACTTTCTTTATCCTTCATTTTGGTCGAACCAGTTTCGGCAAGTCGTCGTTGTTTTTTGCAAGTGTTTTGATTGTTTTCGTTTGTTTGTCTCTCTGTTTTAGCTGGTTTATCATGTCGATACCTGTCAATAAGATACTGATTATCTGTGTACAACTATCAATGTTAGGCACCAACCATTTTCATATTTCATTTTCATATACTATTTTAAAGTACGGAAGCGGATGTGAAATATTTATCTGTAATCATTCTATCAAATCTGGCAGGCTACTTACATATTCATCGAAAAAGATCTTTATCAATAAAGTATTCAAACACATCGATTTTACTTATTTAGCGGTAATCACTCGCGCCTTTGTGATGATACGCGTTGATTTCGGTTGGTCGAATTTACCAGACAACTAATGACGTGAAAATGTCCGCCAATTCTCTTGGTATTAAGTCTTGCGAAACGAGTGGATGCTCATGAACAAACTGTCCACAGGTTTCGCAAAGAATGGCGGTGTCTGAAGCAAGTGCACGTGTACACTCAAATAGTGCTGATGATGAGGATGGTGATGATGAGGATGGTGATAATGAGGAAGGTGATCATGAGGATGGTGATGATGAGGATGGTGATAATGAGGATGGTGATGATGAGGAAGGTGATAATGAGGATGGTGATAATGAGGATGGTGATATTGAGGATGGTGATAATGAGGATGGTGATCATGAGGATGGTAATGAGGATGACGGGGATGACGAGGACGCTGATCCATGATCGGCCACTCGTTTCAGGATCCCTAGGGAGAAGCCAGGTTTTGTTAATGGCCTCTGGGTCAATAGGGTACATTGATTCCAGCAGCCCGGAACGCCGTCACTTTTCTATCTTCAGTGAATGTCCGTCCGATGGTTGCTTTGAGAAGCTGTGGGAACCTGTTTTTGCAATCCGAATCCAATTACCGTCACACGGCAGTGAACACGGGATTTGTGACATATTTACTTTGACGGTCTGCACGGCACATATTTTCATTTTCATACCCCACCCCCTCCCGATTATGGATATCGGGATCACAGGGACCTGCTAATTTGTTACAACTATATTTGGACCTAAACTGGGAGGTGCAGAGTAATTTTGTTGGGGTGAAACTGTTACCACCAAAAATTGATCTAAACCCCTAAAACTTGTAAAATCACTCAGTTAAGGTTCAAGTGGGGCTGTTACAAATTAGCAGGTCCCTGTGATCGGGATATACTAGATCCAAGTAAGGTATATAAATATCCCGAAATATTTAACACAATTTTTGGTTTTATTATCGGTCACGTTTACAAATGCGCCATAACTCTTTCAATTCAGCTATCAATGTAGCTATTTATTAGTAAGTCATCGGACTGGGAAGTAAATTAGTCGCTAGTTCGAACCCCGGTAGAAACATATAGGCCTCTCCCTAATACAATGTCTTACTTGTCAGGAAGGAGAATATTCATTTTACATAAGTTAGAAATATACTTGTCTTTTTCCAACTACCATGTCCTTATTGACATAACAAGGATTCATGACAAAGTTGGAGAACTGCTGTTTCAACTGTTTATTCAATTCAATTCAATTTATTACCAAATGCACATTGCATACCATCTTCGCTAAGCAAGGGTTACGATACGGTACGATCTACCTAAGAGTAGGTAGATCGTACCGGATCGTAACCCTTGGCTAGTGAAGATGATTGCATACAGACATATAGAAATTTACATATTGGTCAATACTTATACAGATATCTTTTCATTGGCGGAGAACATATCCGATAGATTCAATTCCATACAAAATAATTACAAATTCATGAAATAGTTATAAGTTGGGAAAAACTTAAAGCTTTTCCTAAGGTAACTTAGCGGACTCTTATGAAGTAAAATTGAATTGTTCATAAAAATATATAAATAAGCTAGCCAAGTTTCTAGGAAATAACAAAGCTTCAAAGTCAATCATGTAACCTCATCATGAAGATAGAACGATTACTATATACTTAAGGG